CCCGCTGCCCTGACCCGTCCAGCCAGCGTCCGCGTGGGCCCAGGCGTCAGAGGCTCTGAAAAGCACGGCGCCAGGGTCTCTAGGGGCAGCGCCTGGCAGCACCTCTGACCCCAGGGATCTGGGGACCGGCTGCAGGGGGCCTTTGAGGCCTGTCCCTCCCACTCCCACTCCCACTCAGGCCCCAGGCCAGAGGCGCTGCTCCCACAGCCCAGGCGGGGAACACCACACGCACACGCACACACACACACACATACACACACGCGCGCGCACACACAGCTCTGTGGGAGCTCATGGGCAGGAGAGGGTGCGGAGGCTGTGGACAAGCGCCCTTCCCAGAACCGGGAGGCGGGAGGGAGGGCTGCAGAGGCGCGGGGCCTCCTGGGAGGCTGGGAGGCGGGGAGGCCTGGGCGGCCAGCCGGACTCTGCTTTGTCTCTCAGACACACACACACATACACACACGCGCGCGCACACACAGCTCTGTGGGAGCTCATGGGCAGGAGAGGGTGCGGAGGCTGTGGACAAGCGCCCTTCCCAGAACCGGGAGGCGGGAGGGAGGGCTGCAGAGGCGCGGGGCCTCCTGGGAGGCTGGGAGGCGGGGAGGCCTGGGCGGCCAGCCGGACTCTGCTTTGTCTCTCAGCTGGACCCCCTCTTAGCTGGGGCCAGGCCTGGCGGACTTGCCCTCCCTCCCGCCTGGCACCGCAGCTGCCCCTCCCTTTGGTTGACTTCAAAGGCCCCTCAGAACCCCAACCTGCTCCGCGGGACCCCCCCTGTGGTTCTCGTGTTTCTCCTGTGAAATAAGGAAGGTGATCCCGGCACGCGGGGGCTGAGGGTGCATCGAGATCAGCTGTGAAGTGTGGTGAGCTGGGGTGAGTGTTCAGTAACGGAGGGAGCTACGGGCCGCGGACCTCAGGTCTGCCCCCAGGGGCCTCTAGGTGCCCTCCAGGTGGCCTCTGGGGGCCTCTGGGTCCAGGGGCTCCTGCCCCTTCCGGGCGGGTGAGGACAGTGAGGCTCCAGGGAGAGCAGTTCCCAGCCTGTCGCTGTCCAGACCGGACACCAGACATTCTGACCCCAGAGCCGGAGGCCGTCGCCCAGCCGAGCGGCTGCTAGGCGGCTTATCCTTGGGCAGCGGAGGTGGCAGGGGTTGTGGGTTGAACTGTGTCCCCTGCGGTGACCTGATATGGAAGAGCCTTTGCAGACGCAGTGAAGATGGGCCGCTGGGTGTGGGCGGACCCTAAGCCCGATGACTGGCGTCCTGGTAAGAGAGGAAGTAGGGCACAGACACACGGGGGAGGAGCCACGTGGAGACGCGGGCCGAGATTGGAGGGGTGCAGCCAAAGGCAGGGGTCAGGGAGGATGCCGGCAGCACCAGGAGCTGGAAGGGGCGGGAAGGGGCCTCCCCTCCCCTAGACTGGGGAGCTCCGCCGGCCCGCCCTCCATCTCAGACGTCTGGCCTCCAGAGCTGTGAGAGAATCATATCTGTAACTCCGAGCCCTCCGATTTGTGATCATTTGTTGCAGGAGCCACAGGAACTAATGCAGGGGTCATGGGCCCCCTGCCTTTAAAGATAATAGCCCACAGGGCTCAGCTGTGTCCAGGGAGTCCCGAGCCCAGTGGCCCCCGGCCAGGCCACTGGCCTGCACGCAGCTCAGTCCGCCTTTTCCCAGAAAAACGTGGAGCCTTCTCAATAAAACCCCCAAGGAGACAGAACGCTGGGTCCCAGGGATTCAGACCCACTGGAGATCACATCGGTAACCCCACCCCTGCCCCCCAGATATCCTCCCAGCCACGGGCCCTCAGGGTACCCGGGAGCAGCACCAGGTGATCCCAGCAGAAGGGGGTGATCCAAGCAGAAGGGGGTGCTCCCAGCAGAAGGGGGGACGGCACACCTCCCGCTGGATTCAGCCTTGATTGCCGCCTCTGCCTCGGCTAAAAATAGCCCAGCCCCGGCTTGACTTCTGCATATATTTGCATATTGGGCCTGAGACTCATGAATATGGAGAAACAGGGCAGCTGACTTGTTTGTGCAGCAAACCCAACAGAGGACACCTGCCCTCCTGGGTCATTCCCGCTCCCCCAGCTGCCCTGGCTGC